CAGGCAGGCAGGCAGGCAGGCAGGCAGGCAGGCATACAGACAGACAGACAGACAGACAGACAGACAGACAGACAGACAGACAGACAGACAGACAGACAGACAGACCTAAATTTTTTCGTCGAACTACTCCAAAAAAGGCTATCGTCTTTAAGAAGCAATGTGGATAGATTCCGTTTGCATGTTTTAATATTTCTCTTAAGTTTCATACTTATATTCAGGCAACAGACTGAAAAATTGCACATATCGCCTCGAATAATTGCCGCAGAGTCACGTACTTCTTTAACCTACACAGGACCAGTACTTGTTGTATACGTCACCTCCATCATGCTGGGGTGTGCACCCGTGAGATGAAGGTCAAGCGGCGTTCAGTCTGACATTTAACCTTTTTCCGGAGAGAGTAGCACTGCAAATGTTGCCACATTAGATTGTGAGCACGCAGTACATGTATTCCTTTTGCCTTCCCGAAATTCTCAAACCTTGTGAAGGACCCATCAAGGTTTTCACAGACAGAGGAGAAATCGATCCTGTGCGGTTAGACCAGGTTAATATGAGGCAAAAAAAACCTTCTGTATTATTACTTTTCTCGCTAGCTGAGCCTGCGTTTCTCTTCTCAGCTATGCCGAAAAGAAATGGACCGTATTGCAAGCCCTGTGGGGAACAAAGTTGCATGTTTATGCTAAATCGATAGCGCCTTTGTACCATCGCAAACTTAAAATTTTCTGTTTGCTTCCTTGCCGGAGACATCTCCTACACGTACTTATTTTTGAAATTTTATAATTTGTCACTTTATTGTAGTCTCAATTTTCTAGGCCTAAAGCAGTGTTTCGTCCGCCTATTTTGAACGCCAAAAATTCAGTTTGTTTCTTTTTTTGTGCCTATAAATCCAGTGTTTTGCCTTCATAAATATGGGTATAGGACCGTTGACGTGGCTGAAGAGTTCTAAAGAGAGCTTTACACATGCATAAACAACCAAGATGATATCATAAGAAGCAACAACAGCCTGAAAAATTCGGCGTTCTACCAGTAAAGACATGGGAAGTTATGAAAGAACTAGCAGGAATGCAAAGAGGCAAAGCCACTGGTGAGAATAACGTAGCAATGAACCTGATGAAATATGGCACAGAAATTGTGTAAGAATAATTGGCAACCTTATATACGAAGTGCGTCTTGACGGGAAGGGCACCAGAATCTTGGAAGAATGCCAACATCATCTAAACCCATCTAAAAGGAGACGTCAAGAACTTGACAAATTGCAGGCCGATCAGCTTACTGCCTGCCCTCTTCAAACGATTCAAAAAAGTAATAGCTAATAGAAATAGGGGGACATTAGAGTTCAATCAACCAAAGAACCAAGCAGGCTACTCAACAATAAATCCTATTTATACTACCAATCAGGTGATAGAAAAATGCTCAGAATATAGCCAACCACTATACGTAGCCTTCATGGTTTACAAGAAAGTGTTTGACTCAGTCGAGACATCAGCAGTAATGCAGGCACTACGGAATCAAGGCATCGAAGAAGCCTACATAAACACACTGGAAGAAATCTACAGAGGATCGAAAGCCACCGTAGTTATCCATAAAGAAAGTGACAGAATCCCACTAAAGAAGAGTGGATGTAAAGCGGGGGTACACAATCTCTCCCATGCTATTTACCGCATGTTTACAGGAGTTTTTCGGGATTCTCGATTGGGAATAGTTCGGGATAAGAGTTAATGAAGAGTATCTTAGTAAACTGCGATTCGCTGATGACACTGCCTCCATGAGTAACTCAGGGGACGAATTGCCACTCATGATTACAGAACTGGACACGGAAAGCAGAAAAGTAGGTCTGAAAACGAATATGCACAATACTAAAGCAATGTGCAACTGTCTCGGGAGAAAACTGCACTTTGCGATAGGTGCATGAAGAGACGTTGGAAGTTTTCAAGAAATATAACTACTTAGGACAAGTAGTACCCGTAGAGCCGAAACATGAGAGTGAAATAATTAGAAAAACAAGGATGGGGTGGATCACGTTCAAAGAGCATTTCAAATCATGAATGGTAACCCACCACTAACCTTCAAGAGGAGCGCATATAACAGCTGCATCTTCCCGCTACTTCCCAATGGAGCAGAAACCTGAGGTTTTGAGGTTTACAAAGAGGGTTCTGCCTAAATTGAGGACGACGCTGCGTCCGATAGAAAAGAAAATGATAGGTGTAGCCTTAAGAGACAAAAAGAGAGCATATTGACTCAGAAAACAAACGAAGTTAAGGATATAAATAAGGATATCTCCTTTCTTGTGTACACAAAGTACCATAATAGTCAATGTGTTCGGCCACGCCTGCACGGAAATAGCTTGTTTTAGCAGTGGTAGTAACGCCGTACTGTAAATACAGAAACACCGTGCAGTCGTTTTTGGCCAATATATATAGTCTATCAGACCAGCGCCATCTGTCCGTAATGTCTGTGCAAAATATGCCCTTCAATTTGACGGTATTCGTGATTTCTTTTCTAATTCAGCCATTCGCAACCACATGCTTCAAGTGCCCCGGCATGTCGTTGCGCACTGTTGAGCAAATTCAGCGGGAAGAAGACAAAAAAAAACGCTGACTGACTTTCGTTTCATGAAATACCAGCTGCCGCTGGTGTACGAAGGAGGTGGTCCGCTGCGATCAGGCGAGACCATTGGCCACCTAATAAAACTTGAAACTATACACGAATATGTAGCCGCGATTTCCGAACAGAAGACAAAAAACGGCGCCTCAAGAACGATGCAGTACCATCAATATTTGCAGACTACCTTTCGCATTTGCAGCCTAAAGCAGCAACTGAAAGAAGCATAGGAACATTCAATGTCACCGACAAGCACAACACTGCACAACACTTATCCTAAAAGTCTCTTCCGCGATAGTACGCGAAACTGTGATAGTGGCACACTCTCGAATGACACGTGGCGTTTGCCTCGACTAAAAGTGCTTTGTTTTGCGCCGTTCAAATGGTGCAGTTAATGGAGGCCATGACTAGCCGTTCATTGCTCTGGAAAACAAATGATCCCATGGTACCTTATGCTTTTACCTAAGACCAATTGAAAGCTAAAGCTATGTTTTTTTTTAGTTCAGTTGACGTATTGTTCCTCCCCGCCACCCTATCCGAAAGCTTTTTTTTTTACTTTTTGTGGTGTTGCATTGCCTCCGCTGTCGACCCACCGACGACGGCGGCAGTGCAAAACGACCATGTGTAGTGGTGAGGTTATCATGGAACTTCACATAAGGAGACTTATTGACGCAACTGTGACGCCTTGACAAAATCACAAACGACAGCACGTCACGATGACTTTTCACATCACACGTGTGGATCGACACTGCCGCCAGAGATGGTATATTCTCACGTTTGATGCGTCATCTAAGGCTTTAGCATTCATGACCTTTGTGTTCTCGCATTGGTATCTCGTTGCATGTGCACAAACACTCTCGTTACTAAGTGACAGCTTTTTAATGGAAGCGAAAATGCTGTAGGTCCGTGTGCTCAGGTTCGGGTGCACTTTAGTGAACGCCAGGTGGTCGAAATTTCCGGAGCTCTCCACTACGGCGTCTCTCATAATCATATGGGGGTTTTGGGACGTTAAACTCAACATATCAATCAATTACTAAGTGCCAGCACTGTCGGCAGGCCGCATTTTTCACGCGTCTCATGCTCAAGGTCCACATCGCAACAAACTGAACAACATCTGTTCGCAGGCCCCGCTGCGGTGGTCTAGTGGCTAAGGTACTCGGCTGCTGACCCGCAGGTCGCGGGTTCGAATCCCGGCTGTGGCAACTGCATTTCCGATGGAGGCGGAAATGTTGTAGGCCCGTGTTTTGAGATTTGGGTGCACGTTAAAGAACCCCAGGTGGTCTAAATTTCCGGAGCCCTCCACTACGGCGTCTGTCATAATCATATGGTGGTTTTGGGACGTTAAACCCCACATATCAGTCAATCAATCAAATCAAATCTGTTCGCATACATCAAGAAGTCTTACAAAAGGGGCGCACAAGAAGGAGCTGTTCTTGCTTCTTTTTCTTACCATCACAATAAAGCTGCTTTAGGAAATGAAACGATGCAATTACTCGACAAAGTGCGTGTTTTTTTTAAGCATCACTTATTGCTTTCTCAGAGTGGCAACAAATGCACATGACAAAACACTTGCGCAAGAAACTTGTGATCACGTACCTTCATGAGAGCAGCGTAGCGACATTTCGTGCAATTCAGCGCATGCAATCTACGTTAGCGTGTAGTCTGCTACGTGCGTCAATAGACATGAGCGCACACTCTTGAGGCGCCCAAGCTTAGCGCTTTTTCTATAGCTCGCAAACAGTGCTTTCATAAATTCACTCGCGGACAGTAAAAAAAACACACCATCTGACTAGCGAACAAAATGGTGAAAGAACATGTTTTGTCACTTGACCGCGCTTTCATATCTGTGCAGCAGGCCGACGCGCGATCGCGCACCTGAACAGCAATAGCAACGAACAACACATGCTTTTAAAAAATAGCTGCTACAAAGTGCTTCAGTCTTTTCGTTTTCAAAACATTGTTTATACTTCCAAGAGTGCGAATACAACCGAAAGCTCGAACATATAGGAGCTTCGAATGCAGATTCCACGTGCGTTTCAGTGAGTGACGGCGCGGTGGTGACTCCACTCCAGTGGTGTCGCATGGCGGCTGAAAGCCGCACCTACGCTGAGGACAGGTTCTATAGTACTCTGCTCCTTCGCCCAGGCGCTGAAAAAAATTAGAGGAGGTGCTCACCAGACAGGCCTTTGTTAGTCAATAGAGTCAGCACATTATGATACCGTATGCAATGACCAAGTCGCGCGTCCAAAACTTTTTTCTTTTATCATTTTTTAAGCTGTGCGCGGATCATCGTGACAGTGTTTTTGTGCTTAACATACCTTATTAGCGTAACTGCTGAAGCACTGTAATGCCGAAACTGTGCACGACAGCACTAGCCGATCACGAACGGCTTGGGGTTACAGGGGACGTTGCGTACTACGACGAATGCGGCCGCGTGCACATCGTGGAACGGCTGAAAGAAATGATCAAGTGCATGGACAATCAAGTGGCACCCGCCGAGGTGGAAGACCTGATCATGAGTAGCTGTCCGGCGGTTGCCGAGGTGGGAATCATCGGGCTGCCCCATTCCGACTACGGAGAGGTACCCACTGCATTTATCACTCTCAAACCGGGCCAGGAGATCTCCGAGAAGGAAATCAAGAAGGTTGTTGCTGGTACGCATCATAGGTATATTATGGGATGCTGTTTGATTAGTAGGTTAATAGATTCGGCGGGCAAGTTTCAACATAGTGACGGGGACGATAGGGAACAACAAAGAAACACGCACACACATGGGGCGCTGACTTCAACTGTCACTATAAATCTAAATCCTAAATTATAGATGTAAGGCCACACTTTTTGGGTGTGCATGTTGCTATTATATTTCTGTCTTCGTCACTCAGTCTAAACTTGCCTACTGTCTAAGTTTTTTTTTTTTTTGCTTAAAGCTAAACCCTTTGCTCATATTGCTATCACCACTGTTGCCACCGCAACCTCAGTGATTCATACCGGCAGCAAATCAGCATGGTGTGTTACCCACAACAAGCTCTTGAAGATCACATAAAAGAGAATGCCAGCAGTTCTGTGAGCAGTACGTTGACACGTGGCACATCACCTGAACGTACTGGCGAACGTGCTGATACATGCCACGCCAGTAGTACCTTAGACGAAGGCGATAGTAAGTCTTGAATACTCCAGCATGGCCACACTAGGGGTCATCGTGAAAGGCTCTGCACATGTCCAAGCGCAAATTACGGGGAATGACGAGGAGCCACCTATGCTCATCCGTCAGGAAATTGCGGCGATACAAGCTTTCATGGACAGCAAAGTGTCTTGCTTGACGAGAGAGGGAGCGTGAAGTCGACTTTGACGAACGGTGAGAGAGGACTTCGAGCTGAGAATGCAACGAGCGAGTTCACGTAGAAATACTTGTTATTATTGATTAAGTGTTAGCGGCAACAAGCAGGTTCAGGCAGGAACCCGGCGAGCACCAGCCACATGGACGTCAACGTCTTCCTTCACGCTGGCACAGAGCTGGCGCAGCCATGCTCCGGTACAAATATATATATATATATATATATATATATATATATATATATATATATATATATATTTGTTGTAAGCACAATTTTCACAGTCTTTGACCTTCATCTGTGTAAAATCATGATCACAAAAAACGTCGTCTTCGTTCGACGCGTTGATCAGCCGATTCGGCCTAATAAACGGCCTAATAACCTCCACCTCTCTGTAAGACAGTAGCAGCGTTAGGGTCTCGACGGCACTTATTAAGCCTAATCCTCTGATCAACGTTTCGAACGAAGACGACGTTTTTCGTGATGATGATTTTATATAGATGTAGAAGATGAAGGTCAAACGTTGTGAATAATGTGCTTACAATATATATATATATATATATATATATATATATATATATATATATATATATATATATATATATATATATATATATATATATATATTGTGAGCATTATTTATGCACGTCATCTTATCATATGTACATATTCATCATTATCAGTCTGACCAGTGTTGTGGAGCAGAGGCTCGGCAAGTAAAAGAAGTGTCTTGCAGCTAGAACGTTGCCTTACAAGTGGTAAAGGGTGCTTTCCGGTCCCCTTGTCCTCTCCCTGCAGCGCTTTTTCGTTATCTTCGACTACCAACCATCCCTGGAGCTCCGGTCGGGTCGCCCTCTGTGCAGTCAGCCCACGGTCATGTTGCGAGACGAGCACAACAACACGGCTCCATCCACCCCGCCTACACCCCTGGGCATGCCCCCCCCCCCCCTCCAACCAAGTGGCTTTGAAAAGAGGAAAAAAGGAGAAAAAAGCGCAGTCCCGTTACTGCCTCTCTTAATCGAGGGCACCGCCACAGTTATGCGCAGGGAAAGAAAGAATGGGAATTAAAGAGACAGAATAGAAGAGGTAGGAGGAGGGTAGTGAAAAGCATTCACACCGCATCACATAGCGTGCGTCCGAAACCGCTGCGATGATCCGCAACCTATCAGGAAAAGCCGCCGGGAAGGCCGGAAAAATAATTCACCGAAAAAGAAGAGGATGAGCCTAAGAGGCGCATAAAATGATAGGGGAACGCACTCGCGGGACCAGAAAAATGCAAGCATGAGAAGGAAAGAAAAAAAAGGCCGAATGATTTCGGTTCAACGAGAAAAAAAAATCAGTTGAACGCACTGATGGGAGATACGCGCGTGGGCACGTAGCTCAGGGACGAAAGAAGGAAAAAAAAGAAACATTGTTCCAGTTCAACGAGAAGGAAAATAAACTGTTGAACTTACAGATTAGTGTCCTGTTGACGTTGGTGAAATAATCCTAGTGGGGGCAAAGAACACTGGCAAGGTCGTATAGCCCGAACACGAGAGAAAAGGAATAAAAAACAGTTCAGTTCAGCCACAAAAAAAGGAGGTAAAAAAAGAAAAGAAGAAAAAGGAAATAATGTTTAGCTGAACCCAGAGATGAGAGTTCCGAAGAACTCGATGCGTCAATCCCGTCAGCTCTAGTTCGCCGGAAAAATTGTCTCATGCGCAGCGATAGCCGCCACACACAGGCCACGACCCGGAGAATCAGAGGGCAGGAACACCATTACTGCGCGGATAGCCGCTACAAATGCGGAGATCACCGCGTCTCTCGGGTCTGCCTCGGAGTTGGGGCAATCCAGAGAAGGGGGCGAAGGAGCACTAATGCTTGCAGCAGGCGCACTGGTAGGAGGGCGAGGAGCAGGCACTGACGCCGATCGACGACCGGAGGTGACAGCGTCCCGAAAAGAGCGGCCCTGGACGACTTCCGCGCTGCCTCGCTATGTCGATGGTGTTGACAGTGGTTCTGTCTTTTTCCAGCGCTTGGCGGCACGTCACGAGGCCATCCGAAGAGGCGATGATGACGGCGGCCTTGCGCTGAATTTGCCAGGAAGGGCAGCGCGGTTCGTTTGCCGGATGCGTGCCACTGCAGTTAATGCAGCGAGGGCGCTCCGCAGGACAGGGCGCTTTGGCGTGGCTGCGGAGGCAGCGTTGCGGAGGCAGCGTTGGTCCCGCGAACAGGTAGCGGTGGCGTGGCCGAAACGGCCGCAGCGGGCGCACTGGAGGGGCCGCGGCAATCGAGGGTGGACAGGTCAGCGAGCTTGAAAAGAAACACCTACAGTGGTATGGCGGTCCCCTCAAACGTGACGGTGACGCACCCGCCTCGACGTGTACTCGAGAGGACCGGAATGGCCGAATCGATGTTGACCGCGATGTCAGCGGGATCTAGGTCCTGGTCAATGCCATAGATGAGTCTGACACACGTGTTGTCCGTGAGTAACTTGGACTCGACGTTTAAGGAGCAGATTCGCCTAACATCGAGGAGCTCCGTGGGATCTGCTGCCGGTGGAATGTCGACGGGAACGAGGTTGCGTCGGAAGTTGACGCGGACGCGCCGGGTCACAGTGAAACCAGATAGGAACGCTGCGATTGAGTCACGAGTCAAGGCGAGGAGGCCTGCTTCCCCACGGGTCTGTAAATGATGGTGCCGCCGCGATTTCCCACAAATGTGGAAGAGATGGGGGGGGGGCGACATGCTCGGGCGCCTCCATCGTATTTACTTCGGCGGCTGGGATGAGAGATGAGGTCGGAGGAGGGGCGAAGAAGCGGACAGTACTCAGTGCACATGTCGTGTCTGTTGTTGCAGGTGACGAGGGAGGCATCGTATGCTCCCATGAGGAGCTAGAGATGGACGAGGTGTCGGTCTCGGCAGATTCCGCTTGAAGAGGGGTGCCCTGAGTGGAGCGCTCTTCTTGCGCGCGAGATGGGGTCAGGTTGGTGGAATGCCTAGAGCTTGTGATGAGGTGGCCTGGAGTGACCGGAGCCGCCGATTAAGGAGGCTCGGAGTGGGCTTGAAGTGAATTTTTCCCCGCTGTGGGTGTTGTCTGCTGCCTCTCTCTCTCTGCCTTATAGCTGCAGCAATTTCGAGCTTCTGCCTGTGCAGGGCGAGAGCCTTATCTCTCTGCTGCCCAGAGCCTTAATCGAAGAACTTGCGCAGCTGGGAGCGGGTACGGCAGGCTGCGACAGAGTGTGGGTCTTCGTCCTTGAGGATATCCCCTAGTGTCCGTTTAGTCGCCATGGTGAGCCCTGAAAAGGGCTGCACGCACGGAGACGCGAGACGACGGCGCAAACAGCAGAAAGGCCGGTAAGAGCGAACAGAAAGATGTCCTTTCACGCTGACACCTCCCCCACCCCCTGGGCATGCCTTCATGAACTGTCACCGCCCCTCAAAAAGATCCCCCGATGTTCGCCGGCATTCGCGGTGAAGACGTTGAATACTGGTTGGATGAGTACGACCGTGTGAGTGCGCTTAACTATTGGCATGATTCTGTGAAGCTGTCCCGCGTACCGTTCTATCTGACGGGGGTCGCTAAGACATGGTTTCTCAACCATCAACTGGATTTCCCGGACTGGCCTACCTTTAAGCAGCAGCTCCGTCAGATATTTGCCAACCCTTCTGTCCGTGCAGACATCGCCAAACGGAAGCTTGCTGAACGTGTTCAGCACTCCAGCGAGTCTTATACTTCGTACATTGAAAATGTCCTCGTCCTATGCCGTCGCGTCGACAGCTCTATGGCGAAACACGACCGCGTTCGCCACCTGCTCAAGGGCATAGGCGCCGTCACATTTAACGCTTTAGCGACAAAGAACCCCACCACTGTCGCGGATATCATCAGTACGTGTCAGCGACTCGATGACCTTGAACTTATACGTTTACAACCTGACACAGGAGATCTCAGGCTAACGCATGACGGTGAGCTCCGTACGTTGATACGGTTCATGGTTCACGAAGAGCTGCAGCTCCAGGCCACCTCGTCGCCTTATGAGCTCCGCATAACGCCTTCTGCAGGCAGCCTCCGCAACATCGTCAGGGAGGAACTGGCATCCATGGCGTGTGAGCAAGTCCCGAGCTCGCATACCACTTTAAAGCCGACATACGCTCCGGTGGTTGCAGCGTCACCTTCTCAGCAATCACCGCAGTATGTGTCAACTACGCAGCCTTCACTGAATGTCTTTGCCCCAAGAGAACCGCCTCCTTTTTTCCATGCCTGGCGTCCATCTCGACCGATTTGCTATTATTGTGGAATACGTGGCCACATCTCACGGTTTTGTCGTCGACGTCAACAAGACGAAAGGCGGGGCTATTGTGACTACGAGAGGGATGAGTTTGGCCCTGCTCCACAACATCGCCACCCGTACCAACTGTACCAACGCTGCTCACCATCTCCACAGCACTCCGATGCAGCCAGTACTTTCCGCTCCTCGCGCCGTCGTTCCCCGTCGCGTATGTGTCGTTCCTCGTCACCACTTCAACCGGCTACCACGGCGTCTGATCATCGCCCAGAAAACTAAACAGTGCAGCT